ATGCACAGAGAAAAAGACATAAGAAGTAGAAAACAAGGCCCTGGGAGAGTTCACGTAATTTGACTGTAGGGAAAGACCGCCATGTTCAGACATTCCTATAAAGCAAAAGTTTCGTGTTGAACAGCGTGACAAGGGGCTCCAGGTCATCTCATTTTTGACCAGCCTACACCGCCTAGGACACATCCATCTGTACATGCCCCGCCTTCCTTCACCTGCTCACTTCCTCTTCCCAGAAAACTCATCTGTGTCGTCAGTCTTTCCAGGAAGCCTCCTGACACCCGCAAAGGATGACTGGCTCCCCCACGCCTGTCTTGACCTTTGTCCCTGCCATATTTTATTAGAATTCTTTTCCATGTGGACTGTGACCTCCCTGAGGGCAGTGACTGGGGTTTACCTATGGCCCTCAGAACCAAGCCCAATGCCAGGCACAAATAAACAGAGTCATAGTGAGCAAGGACTTGACAGATAAGGGCTGCAGGTTTGTGAGGACAAGGGACAGCTGATGAGGTCACGGGAAGGGATGAGTCGCGAGTTGTAAAGATTGAAAGTAGAAGTAGTAAGTAGTAGGGTTGGCGGGAACGAGATTGAAGATACCATGTACAGGAAATGGTAGGGTCTGCCCCGGCTGGCCCGCGTGGAATGTGCTACCGGGGATAAGGGAGAAACCGGGCTAATTTCAGGAGGGTGGATTGCCGGAGGGCAGAACGCACTTTGTAGGCTGGATTTCCCAAACCAGCCGCGTAATTCCGTTCACGATTGCAGACCTGAGGGCAAGCTGATGTCCCGTGGTGCTCTGACCAAATTCTTCCCAGAGAGTCTCTCTTTGACATTTTTAAATCCCACCATCTCAGTTCAATGCAGTATTTACACACCTGAGAGGTGGCTGTGGGTTATTTGCAAAAACTACAGTAAACCTACACCCACTGAGGTCCACACCAACTCGATTCGAGCGTATCCTTAAAGCTGCAGCTCCCTTATCCTCAAGCTACTTTCCTGTGCTTCTTGTGTCTTTTCAGGTCTTATAAAGAGCTCTTACTTGAGGCCTGCACCGGCAGGAAGTGGAAATGAACAAGCCATTTAACAGAACACACTGTACCTTTTTAAACATTAACCATTGTTCAGGTCTGAGGTCCCAGCTGCCGAGGGCGGTGAGGGTAATCAGGAATTCAAAGCCAGAACTCTTACCTACGGAAAATTTTAGAGTTCTTTGTGTGTGTGTGTGTGTGTGTGTGTGTCTTAAAATTATATCAAATCAAAATTTATATACAGATGTTTGGTTATTTTAAGAAATAAACACAGAGCTATCCTGACTTATCTCTTAGCCGCAAACGGCTTTATCTGACCCAAGCCATACAGAAGAGCAAGCTCGTTCTACCCGACAGTATTTAAGCTGGGGTGACATCCTGCCATTAGAGCTGACGCCGGGACTTACTGTTCCTATGGACTGGAAGGACTCAGACAGTCTTGGCTCGATGTTGGCGCGGCGACTCTTTTAATTGATGGGGGAACTTTTTGTTGCTCTCTTGTTTTTCCTTTCTTGTCTTTCCCGTGAATGTGACTCATGGACGCACACATTTAGATGAGATGGTTCTACGAGAAATTAGCCAGCTGTAATCATCATCATTTTGTTCTTGGGTACTTACGATGTACCCAAACACAGTGAACATGAGTTTTGGACATTAGCTCTCAGGGTCTGGAACTTCCTTCTAGAGGGTCAATCAAACTATATTGCATGTGTGCCAGTCCCACTACGTTGTCCCAGTCTCCTAAGTTCAGGGCTGGTATCTAATTCACTGGGTATCTCTGTGCCCTACATATATGAGACACTCAGTAATGTCTGTTACATACATAGTCACCATATGACATAAACCAAATCATGCTATTTCCAGGGTTCTTATCAGTGACTGGGGCCCTAGCCTCGTGTTTCCAGTGTTTGGCCTCTCCATCAAAGAATTGAAATAAGGGCTTATGTGGATTTTCAAAAGCAGCAAGGAAAAAAACTTATTCATAAAACAAGACAAGTCAGATATAGTATCAAGAGTGGCAGGCATCCATATAAGAGAGAGTACTCAAGGGTCCTAATTATGGTTTGGGCCTTTCTTTCTTTCTTTTTTAGATTTATTTATTTATTGTGTATACAGTATTCTGCCTACATGCATGCCTTCAGGCTAAGAGGGCCCCAAATCTCATTTCAGATGGTTTTGAGCCAACATGTGGCTTCTGGGAATTGAACTCAGGACCTTGAGTCGAGCTGGTGGTGCTCTTAACCACTGAGCCATCTCTCCAGGCCTGGGCCTTTCTTTTATGGGATTCAACAGAAAGAGAAATATGCTCGCTAGGGGTTTAGTTTGGATGGTCCTCTGTTTTGATTGACAAAATATGTTATATAACCATTTCCTCTAATATACATGTCTTTTCCCATAACGCATCCTGAATTCCATTATATACACACCTAATAATGTGTAGAGATAAGATGGCAGATGAGGGATTTTGCCTAAAAGTTCACATGGGGACACAGTTTTTGCACATGCACCAAAAACCAAATCAACCTGGATTGGCCCCCTGTTCTCAGACCCTTGCCCACCCAGAGTGTGAATGGATAGAATCTAAGTTTGGTAGTCTCTAAAGGGAAGTGAAACATATTCCAATGTTGAGAGAAAAGTGTGGATGCAGCTTGGTTTCTGGCCTGCAAATGGATTGCTAGGTGTGCTGTAGAGAAAGAGGTGTCAAGATAAGAATCCTAGATTGCCATGTGCAGCATCAGAAGAGAGCTGGGTGTACAGCCCAAGCCAGGTGGAGTCCCGGATTGCTAAACTATTTCCTACGCTGCCTCAGAGTAATGCCAAAAGTGTTGCAGTGGCATTACGGACATGTTGTTATTCCAAATAACAAAATCTGAAAATAAACTAAGTCCCAGTTGCAGAAGAATATAGGCACAATGGAAGTATTCTTTGTGATGTTAGCTTCCGACTCAAAATGAAAAATTATACAGAGAAAACCTGTGACCTTGAAATAGTCTGTGACAAGGTCATGTGAGAATGTGCTGATATTAAATTGCACGTACAATGTTTATAACTTTGCCATGGAAGGACTATTATTTATAGAGATAGGGAAGTGTGCCCAAATCCTGACAGTAATAAAAAAGAAATAATTTATGAACAATATTTCCTATTTTGTGCATTTTCTACTATACTTTTCTACATGCAAGGCAAGTACTCGATTCCCCACTTACTAGTCGCCCTCAATTTCCTGTCGTTTTTTTTTTTTTTTTTTTTTTTTTTTGTTTTACCGAGACAGGGTTTCTCTGTGGAACAGCCCTGGCTGTCCTGGAACTCACTTTGTAGACCAGGCTGGCCTCCAACTCACTGAGATCTGCCTGCCTCTGCCTCCCACCTCCCTTAATTTTTTAAGGTAGAGTCTCATGAAGCTCAGGCTGGCTTTGAACTTGCTATGTAGCTAGAGCTGGCCTTGAACTCATAATCTCCCTGCTTTTACCTACCAAGTGTTGGAATTGAAGATGTAAGGTATTATTATTATTATTATTATTATTATTATTATTATTATTATTATGAGCTCTGTATAATTGTATGTTGAATAACATGTAATTGTAAAAGAAATTTTAGTGCTTGCTAGTGTTTGCTTTGCTGGGGTCCTGGCCTCAGTCAGCTTCAGTTATGACAAGAGAGCCATCCAGACAGTTCTTAGGAGGGAAAAGTTAGAGACAGCCATACTGAAACCAACAAACGAAGTGTGTATCCGAAAAGAGTATTAAATTCTTAATTTTACACACATCAGAGACGATTATTTGCAAGCCTCGGGATTAATAACCAGTGAACTAGAAGGTTAGAAGAATTCCTAACCCAGTTAGAAATTCGAATCTCATGAGGACTTTCCTGGGACGGACTGAGTGGCCCTAGCTGTGCCTGACCCCACGCCGAGCCTGCACCTGCGTGAGAAAGGAAGGGAGGAGAACCATGGAAGAGCTTTGACCTATTGTATTCCGGATATCTTCAATGGTTACTTCTCTTGAGGACTTCAAGGCAAGCCTATGAGCAGCCTTCTTGTACCTGCTGGAAAACCCGAAGATCAGAAGAATTAATTACAACCAGGAAACAACGGACTTGGAGGTGACAACTTGAACTCAGGACTTCATGAGTCCAAAGTTTTCCGTGGTGGCTCCCGACAACCGAAGCCCTTGTTGAGACAGCTGGTGGCAACGATTCAGGTTATGAAAGACCACAGGCAAGGTACAGGTACCTCTCGGAGGTTGGCTCCTGTCACGAGCGCCATGGGCCACTCCTACTCTGATTGTGTCTTGTACCTTTGGGAAGAGAAGGTCCACTGTCCCTGATTCACTTTGGAAAGTCGTAATCTTAAGAGTCAGAATTTATGGCCACTGCCCGAATATTATCTGGCCTGTGTCACGTGGAAAGTATCTGGCCTGAGGATACAAACAGGGCCATTATCTAGCCTAGCTTAAGCATAAACCCTGGACGAATCATACTTGAAATTCCTTTGCTACCCAGGATCCTGTGGACAGAGCTGGATACCAGCACACAGGCCCCATGCTGTAGAATGGATCGCCGTTGGCTAAGAACTAAGAGATAATTCTCCCTGTCATGTTGCCCCTTCTTCCCTTACACTAAGTCTATGTTTATGTTCTGATTTTCCAATAGTTAGCAGACCCTGGAAATTAGAAGTTATCCTGACCCAAATCGAAATTGAAATGGACTCACATGATTGATTTTGCCAAAACACGCCGTCAAAATAACGTTGCCCATTTGCTGTCCGATAAACAGTTTTTAGAATAGTTTTGATTTCTTGAAAAATTGTGAAGCTGATAAGATGTTCACAGAGGACACACTCTCCACTGTTATTTTATTTATTTATTTATTTATTTTTGGGTTTTTCAAGACTGGGTTTCTCTGTAGCTTTGAAGCCTGTCCTGGAACTAGCTCTTGTAGCCCAGGCTGGCCTCGAACTCACAGGGATCCGCCTGCCTCTGTCTCTGAGTGCTGGGATTAAAGGCGTGCGCCACCACCGCCTGGCTTCCACTGTTATTATTATTATTAATATCTTGCCTGAGAGCATACAGTTGCTACCTCTTGAGGAAACAGAATGGACAGCACATCCTTGACCCAGACTTCCATGGTTTGTTTTCCTAATGTCCTTCTGGGATCCCATCCAGGTTCCTTTGCTGCACTGACTTGTAAGGCCCCTTCAGGGTTGTGACAGTTTTTCAGGCTCCCCTATTTATTCTGAGTGACTCGCCGAACACTGGTGAAGTTTGCATGAAGGAAGTTGTCCTGTACGGGCTCCTTTCTTCCGGTTAGACGAGGGTCGTGGGTTTTTGAAATGGAACTTCAAAGGTGAAGTACCCTTCTCATCGCCCCATACCAAGCATTCGTGACTGATTGTTGTTGATTTAAGACTTATTTTTAAAGAAAATAAATCACGTGGAAAGCCACCCAGGGACAGAAGTGGCTCTGCATAGTCTCTAAACCGATTGTGCTGGCATAGATGGATTGGCAAGCTATCCTGAAACAAACACATCAGGAGACGGTGCTTAGTCCAGGTCCAGTTATAAGGTTTATGCAAAGTCACTTACAGGAAACAGCGTTCCAAGCCGGGCGGTGGTGGCGCACGCCTTTAATCCCAGCACTCGGGAGGCAGAGGCAGGCAGATCTCTGTGAGTTAGAGACCAGCCTGGTCTTCCAAGAGCTAGTTCCAGGACAGGCTCCAAAGCTACTGAGAAACCCTGTCTCGAAAAACCGGAAAAAAAAACAAACAAACAAAAAACAACAACAACAACAAAAAAACAAACCCACAGTTCCTTAGCAGAAAAGATGGTCTTAAAATATAGAACGTAGCTAGGGTGCTGTATATGGAGCGCTTGGCGGCACGAAGAGCCAGCGCATGCTCAGTTCATTACACAACACCAACTGTGCAACCCTGCTGTTCAACCTACAGGCCTACAATCCCAGAAGAAAACATTAGCAGCGAACTAGACTTCCACATTCCCTGCCTCCCTTGAATTCATAACATTTCCAAATGGCTGGAGCGCTCCTAAGAGCCCGCACCATTCTTTACCTTGTAGGGAAAGAAAACACTGGCAGAGTGGCTGGTTCGTTTGTTACATAAGAGCGCCGGCTTCGTTTCAGTGATTTAACCCTGATTAAATTTAGCTGTCAGCCTTTAAAAGTTCTCAGAGCCGCGTTCCAGCCTAGACAGGGAAGCGACATGCTGGCACCCCTTTCCTCCTACCTTTGTGCAAATGCTGTTTTCAAGCAGCTAGCCAGACATCAGTCAGAGAGCAGACCTTTGCCAAGCTCCAGGTGCCCGGTTTGAATGGCTCTTCCCACCCTTGCAGCCGGACCTGGCTGCGAAGGTGTTGGAGGCTCCCTGAATACCGAATGGGCTTGCATCCTTTAGTTGAAACTGCTTCTTTGCTTTTGGGGCTTTTGTTTGGTAATTTATTTTTGTGTTTAAATTTGGCAAGTGGGGCTCTTTCTATTTTATTTTATTATTTTATTTTGTTTTATTTTATTTTTTGCTTTTTACCCAAACTCTCCAACTCTTCCTGTTTTGGCGTCTCGCCCCTCTCTCCAGCCCCAGGATTTTAACTGAACAATCAAGGTTAGGCAGGAGGACAGGAACAGCTGTTTCCCGTAATGAGGGTCTTTTTATTCACTTCCTGTTGCTTTCCTGTGGAGAGGAGACAGTTGTCCTGCATCCTTCCCCTAGAGATGGCTGAGCAGGCTCGTGTGTGTGTGTGTGTGTGTGTGTGTGTGTGTAGCCAGTGGAGTCCCACAGACCTATACACCCATTCTGATGTGTTCTCTTAATAACTCATGCGTTCTCCGGGTGCTCACTATCCAGAAAATGAAGTGGGAGGAGCCAAAGATCTAACTCCGAGTCCCTGAAGTGGATTATAGATATCGCTGACGGCTCTGGCCGCCACAAAACATCTTGCTGGAGTATAAACCGCTGTTTTGTAAATCAGGTCCATATGCTCTAGGCTTGATTGATTATCGGGGTCCATCTCAGATGTTCTGCGATCACCAACCACTTTGATCCCCTTCTTCCTAGTCGGCATACCCAGCTGTATAAATAATATTAGTCCAAGCACAACTTCCTGAACAAATGGTAAAAAGGAAAAAAAAAAGTTGATAATGTTCTATGTTTCCAGAGGCACAGGTGCTTCAGATCAGTGGGGCTAATCTTGTGGAAACAGCCGATGCTAAGCCTTTTCCCGAGACAGAAAGCTTTTGTGCTCACAGGTTCAGATTCGGGAAGAAAGTGGAATTTTCTTGGAGCTAAAAAATGTTTCCTTTAGAGTTAATAGATTGCTAGCATTCTGTGTGGGTTTTTTTTTTTGAGTCATTAAAACAAATAAAAGAAAAGCAATCAAAATAAAAGTATTAAAATCTGAACTATTATGATTATTGTATTATAGCGACTAACTTACTGCTTATGAGTTTTTCAAAGATGACTCCCATGAAAGCTTCAGACAAATACATAATTATAAAACCATCCTTCTCCATGGCTACTTTTACCAAGTGACCCACATGGCTTGGGTCCCTTAAAAATGTTTCTTAGGAAAAAAAAAAAATTGGTCATGGGAGGCAGAGTGTGGTGGTGCACGCCTTTAATCCCAGCACGTGGGAGGTAGAGGCGGGCGGATTAAACCTGGACATGTTCTAAGAAAAAAAAATTGTTTCTTAGGAGCCAGGTCGTGGTAGCACATGCCTTTAATCCCAGCACTCAGGAGGCACAGGCAGGCTCTCTGTGAGTTCAAGGCCAGTATGGTCTACAGAGCTAGTTTCAGGACAGCCTAGGCTACAAAAAGAAACCCTGTCTTGGAAAAACAAAACAAAACAAAAACCCCAAAAACCAAACAAACAAAAAGTCTCATGACTTAAGTAGAGAACCTCATAGCTGAAGAAATACAAGGGTTATCAGGATTCCACCCTACATGATGTGGATATTTCTATTAAAACTCAAAAGATATTCCTTTGTAAACTTCTAGGCGTACACCAAAAGATCTATTCTAGCCTTTTTCCAGTTGAGAGGTAATGTTCTAGCTTGTCTGATTCTGGTCATGGGGGTAAAGTCTGGTGCGTTAAGCTGGGACTCTGATCTTTGTCATCTAAATAGGGAGCTGAACTAGAATCTAACTTCGATAAACTAACAATAACACTATTATAATAGTACAGGTAACAAGAAAAGAGAATTCTAGATGGCCCTGGCTATACTACTGTGTTGGCTAGCTATGTTGGCACAAACTTATTAACCATTTAGACCCTTGATTTTGTCATCTATAGAATGGTTATGGCAATAGAACTATATGTATATGAGAAGGCCCGATAAATGATTGGATGAGGTCCCCCCATGAAACATTGATCATACTGCCTGATTTTGTAATGTATGTGAGAAAAACATTACCTTCTGTTTGCCAAGAAAACATTTTTGTAAATTATTTATGTAATTTCCATCCTGATCTCACCAACTCGATCAATTTTATAAAGATGAATTAATCAAGAAAGTGGGTATGGAACATGGAGAATCTCTTTAAATTCTTATAGGCTGATGTAATGACTATGTCATCAATATCCCTGCTTCAAATGTTTTTATGGAAAATAGTTAGAGATATATGTCCTCTTTGGCTTGCTTCCCATGACAACCCATGGATGAACAGATACACTGAAAACATGGTTCCCCCAAAATATTTGACCAACAAAGAATTGTTTCTGACAAGCCGTAAAAGCCAAGTACAGGTATGTGCGTTCAATAGGGATGGTGTGATATTGGGAAGGGATACTCTGAGTCCAAGTCAGAATATAATGGCTAACCCCACGTGAACTGAGCCCACAGCATCAAAGTACTTTGTTAATGATGAAACAGATGGAGGCAAGATAAAGGGGCAGTCGTGAGGGCCATGTGTTGGCCAGGAAAAGGGAAGGCTCAGCTTCGACTCCCATCTGAAGTAACTGGCTGCACCTGAGGAGGTTATTTGGGCCTTCGTTCCTGATCTGCAACATCAGGAAAATTCCTGGCCAGGGCTTCTCCCAAAACCAAGTCATATGACAGCCAGAAAGGATGCCATATCATCACAGAACATTCCACAAATACAAGGGATGATGACAAGGTCCCCAGCTGGAAGGGCAAGGCAACCCTGAAGTAAGCCCATGGAAAGAAATGCCTCCTTGGTAGAATTCTTACCCCTTTGCATTTCTTTGAAATCAGCAATTTCCATTCTTAAAATTTCCTTGGCTTCAGATGATGTCATATACCAACTGCTAATTTGCACAAGCACCCATTTCCACTTGGAAAGACATCCCAAACCCCAACCATTCTAGACTCATTTTCTCCCTGTGGGTTAAGAAGCTCTGTGGCCATCCTGTTTGCTTCTGCCTCCCTCCCCTGCAACAGAAACCCAAATAGGCAAGGATGTCACCTGCTTAACTCACCAGCATGCCTCACACAGGATATGGCGTGGGGCCTTTAGTGGGTCCTCAATAAGTGCCTGTTGAATGAAGGAACATGCAGATGTCACTTTACCAACAGGACGCCAACTGGTACCCAGAGCAAAAATGAAGTAGGGAGGGAGGGAAGATGGAGAAAGGAAGGATGGAGAGAGGGAGGGAGGGAAGAAGAGAAGCAGGCGGCAGGAGGGGGGGAGAAGAGAGAGGGGGAGGGAGGGAAAGAGGGAGAGAGGGAAGAAGGGAAAGAGAGGGAGAAACAGAGAGAGAGAGAGAGAGAGAGAGAGAGAGAGAGAGAGAGAGAAGAGAAAACATTTGGACGCATTAGAAAGAACCTTGGCAAATGTTTCAGAGGTACCTCTAAGTGCTCCATTTTCTCCTATCACTATTTTCTAAGCTCTAGAGAAAGAAAGCTGGTTATTACTGATGGAAGGATCTTTCCTCATACCAACACTTAAAATAACCCCCGAAAACCAGTAACAGTTATAGGAATACAAAGGGTTATGACCTTGAAGCGCTGCTTAAGATAACCACCCGTCTGGCCCTCTCAGAGAAGCAGTGGATTTCCTGTGCAAATAAATGGAAGAATAAAGATCTCCAAAGCGCAGGCTTCTGATGGAAAGCCACCCCACACAGTGATTTTTCAAAATGCAGGTTGGTCTGACTCCAGTGGCCGCTCCTCCGTCATCGCCTGTCATGTAATTACTGTGGGACTTGGTTATTATCTAAGACTGAATGAAACCAGCCCCCAGATGAGCGCCACTGGCCTTGCCCCAGAATCTCTAAGGGCGCGTGATTGGCAGAACCAGGGAACCTGGCATCTGTGATCAAGTCAACTCCAGGAAATTTGGCTCCATGGTCTTTTTTTTTTTCCAGCCCCAGGCTTGTGCCGCTGTTATTCTGTTAGGGAGACTGCAAAGTCAATGTTTGAGAGATGAATGGCGTGGAAAAAGTTGACCTTGGTGGCTTGGTAAATATTTGACCCAATGACTCCACCTCCCACCCCCGGCGTTTAACCTTTAGTCTCACATGTTGGAGCCTGAAGCATGTGAGGGGCAATTTTGGTCAGAATCCTAGGACGTGAGCAGCAAGCAGAAGCTGGCATAGGCTATGTTAAGCAAACAAACAAGCGGGCTGGAAGAATCTAGAATAGCTCGCAGTAAAGTAGGAGAAGTGAAAGAGTCTGGTTTCTCAAAACGACAACAGCAGCAAAAAAGAAAAAAGAAATCTAAGAAAAGCTAGGAATTCAGCTTTGGGGAATCACAGTTTCCTGTGTCCTGAGACTACAGTGAATTACTGGAACCATTCTGTTTCTGTGTCACTTCTGGGGACACTGGGATTCTAGGTCAAGAGAGACTGATCGGCCTCGCTTCAGCCCGGTGCCTACCTTCACTTTGTTCAGGATGGGGGGAGTTACTGTGATCTTTTCTTTAAAGGAAATGTGGGTCCCTTGTAGAAAGTCAAACCGCGCTATGCATATCCTGTTGCAAGACAGCAGCTTCCTTAGTGGGAAGAGATTTGCCGCTGTGCTAGTGAGGTGCGTAGGAGTCGCCCTAACCGTGGTCAGCTCCACGTGGCCAGTTCAGCTTCATTGCTTCTCTTTCTTTCAAACTCTGAATCAATATGCTGGACATCTCCAAACTAAGCTAGTATAGGCTCCCTCTCCCCAGAAGCAAGCAGGGGTACATATACACCCTAAGATGTTAGGGAAGGAGAGATGGCTAGAAAGGAGCGACATTGGCTGCCAGACTGGTAGATACCCTGACTCTGTTTGCTTGTTTGATTTTACATCCCAACCAAAGTTTCCCCTCCCTTCCCTCTTCCCAGTTCCTCCCCATTCACCTTCCCCCACCTTCTGCCCCACCTATTCCTCTACAGCTTCCCTTCAGATCCAGGCAGGCCTCCCGTGGATAGGAACCAGTCCTGGCATACCAAGTTGCAGTGAGAACTAGGCACCTCCTCTTCTGTTAAGGCTGGATGAGGCACCCCAACAGGAGGAAAGGGTCCCAAAAGCAGGCAACAAAGTGAGAGACAGCCTGCTGTCACTGTTAGGAGTCCCACAAGAGGATCAAGCTACCAAACTCTCACATATATGCAGAGGGCCTCTGTCCGATCCACGCAGGCTCCCTGGCTGTCATTCATTCTGTTGTGACAGCTTAGAGACTAGCCAAAACGAAACATTCTCTTACAATTGTAGGGGGACTTTTCTTTCCCACCCACCAGCTCCCAAATAACCAACATGGAGACCCAATAGTAATTTTAAATGCTCAGCCAATAGCTCAGGTTTATTACTAACTAGCTCTTACGACTGAAATGAACTCATTTATATTAATCTACCTTCTGCCACATCATGTTATCTCTCTTTCATCTTGTACCTCCTCTTTCCTCTTGTCTCGCTAGTGACTCCTCTGACTCTGCCCTTCTTCTTCCAGGTGTCCTTACTCTGGTTCTCCCACCTAACCTTATCCTGTCCAGCTATTGGCCAGTCAGCTTCTTTATTAAACCAATCACAGCGTTCCGAGGGCTTATTCCACAGAATCTGGTGACGTTGATTCATTCTTTTTTTTCAATGAGCCATTTGTACATGTCTATCAGTGAGTGGGCATACAATGGCGAATAAGGTATCATTTTATGAATGCTTAGTACTTTCTTCAAGGACTTTCATATCTATTGAAGAAGACAGATTCAGAAGCTCTTAGGACAAGTGAAAATATATTGTGTACTGCACTAAATGCCTCTTCTATAATCAGCCTATAGTGGGCACATACTGATGGATAACTCAGTAACCATCTGACCTTGATTTCCGGTGTGAAATCTGGTGAGATAGTTAAACACAGGCACCCTCAGTACTCCTTTCTCAACAAGTAGCCCCCTGACTTTTTTTTTGCATTTGTATTTTCCAGACAAGGTTTCTCTGTGTAGCCCTGGTCATTTAGAACTCACTCTGTAGACCAGGTTGGTCTTGAATTCACAGATCCACCTGCCTCTGCCTTCATCCTAAGAGTGTACAGCAACACCATCAGTAAATTTCTGATGAAATAGAAAAGATCCCCTTGGTGGGGTATTATTGCTACTGACGTAAGATGGAAAGTAAGTTAGGTTAGTAGAGCAAACCCAGGTAAATCTGGTAAAACACTGAACGCATCAGCTGGAGAGATGGAGCACTCAGGGCAGATGCCAGAAAAATACAGGGCAGAGTTAGAAAAAATAGGCATAGCTGGTCTTAGTGATTTCTGGACACAGATGTGAGATGTAAGATGCAGAATTTTTCAGAGAAACAAAATAAAGCATCTCCCTTGACTTCCTTTCTGTTCACCTAGACTGTGTATTCTGACTTAGCATTGGTTTGGACAGAATTTTCTTTATAAAAAAGTTTTTAATTAATTCTTTTTTTTTTTAGAATTTCATACATGTGTAATCTATTTACATCACCCCCTTCAATTTCTCCCTTCCACTCAGTCTTAAATTCATGACACTTTTTCATTATTGTTACATATATATTTTTATATCTATGTGGGTATGTTTGTATGCTTTTGTGTCCATTTAGTGTTGCTTGTACGTATACATGTTTAGGATAACCAAATGGGGTTAGATAACCTGTCTAGGGGCTCTACCTAGATAAAACTGATTCTCCATATTTCAGCAGCCATTAATTGCATGTAGCTCTTCATCTAGAGATGTGTCTTTATGAGATTTCTTTCCCATCCACATTGGCATGCTAACTTGTGTTGTCATTGTGCTGATCCTGTTTAGGTGACCACATTGTTACAATTTCATGACTGTAACTTCCTGGTCATATAGAGCAAGGCATTTTCTCACAGCAGACCTCCTGGTCCTCTGTCACCATCTTTTCTCTCCCTCTGCCTTGAGCGTTGGGTAAAAGGAGTTGTGTTGTAGATGCATTTGTTGAGCTTGGGACACATGGTCAGTTGTTCGCCTCATTTCTACCGTTTTCTGTAATGATCTCTGTCTGCTGCAAAACAAAGCTTCTTTGATGCGGGGTGAGAGCTTCACCTTGCTGTGGATATAAGGGTAAGTGTTTAGGATGCACTTAGAAGCTATATTGGTCTAGGAAAGTGGCGGTAGTAGGCTCCTCCCTTTTAGGGCACGTGACCTTACCAGTAGTTGGGTAGGTTTACAGTCGTAAGCATGAGTTCCCTCCTATTCAGTAGACCTTAAACCCAGTTAATGAGCTGTTGGCTACAGCTGTTGGATTGGTAGAATTAATATTGTGAAAATAGCCATCCTAACCAAAAAAAAAAAAAAATCAATTTGCAGCTTCAATGCAATTCTGGTGAAAATCCTCATTATATTCTATACAGAAATAGAAAGAAAAGAATCTTAAAACTCACATGAAACCATAAAACACCCCAGATTGCCAATCTAGTAAAAGGAACAACACAGGAGGGATTACCATAACAGATTCCAAACTATATTACAGAACCATAATAATAAAAACAGCATGGAAGGCAAATTCTTATTTGCTAAGAAGGTCTTTGTTCATCACCACCTCCGAGCCTTGTAACACATACATCATTTCCTCCTAAAATATTATCTAGGAAACTTGGCAGGGACACCAAGTTACCCTTTTGGTCTTCTCTCCAAAGGCCCAAGGATATGTGTTCAAGTAGGTTCTTGGAAACAGTCCTGGAGAGCGTGCAACATTCCAACGCCAACAAGCACACTCTAAGAATGACGGTGTGTCACAGCGATGCTTACTAAGTCCATGTTCTTATTTACACACTCATCTACGCGGCCACAGCCCACACAGTTCACACAGCCTTGCCACATCTCTATGGAGTGCTCTGCAGTATCAAGTTAGCTGCTTAGGAAAGGTGACTGAGTACCTGGAGTCATGCGGAAAGAATTCCGCAGTGCTGGGGTGGGCAGCGCTATACTTGATGGACTGCGATGTTCCCTCCAGAGACGCTCACATGGCACGGGCAGGCAGCAGCCTCTATGAGTCAGAACCCACTGCCTCCTTGTCCTTTGTACTTTGTCTTTTGAGCCAATAAAATACAGTGACACCCAGAACTATAATATCTTATCTGCAGAAAAACAAGCCACTAGCAAAGCAATGATCCGAACTCTGAGCCAGCCTCTACAAGAGCTTCCTAGAACCCTGGATTTGAGGGACCCATGTTTGAAAAAGAAAAATCAAGTTGACAATCTTCTTGAAGTTTTATCTATCTGGGAAACAGGGTACCTAAAAGAAAAAAAAAACATTTTAAATAAGAATTTGAGTAGCACTTAGAATTAGCAAATAATTTCTTGAGTGATTTATTTTCATTTTAAAAAGTATTTTTGAGGCAGGATCTTTTTAACCCCACCTCTGACTTAAACCGTCTCTGTGACTGAGAATGATCTTGAACTTGCTATCCCCTGCGTCTTTGTCTCAAGTGCTGGAACTTCGGATAGCTGATGCCACACTGGGTCTGTGTGGTATCGGGAATCAAATCCAGAGCTTCGTGCACGGTAGGCAAGCACTCTACCAACAGAACTACATCTCCAAGCCCTTGAGGGATATTTCAAAAGATAAAACAAGGTTTTAGAATAGGCTAGTAGCTTCTGGAGCCTAGTATTCTCTGTGCATACTCCCATGCTTGTAGGCTGGCCAAGAAGCCATGTTCTGTGGGACATTTTCATGGACTGTAGCAGGAAAAGAACCGAAGTATCTCATCACAGCTGATGCCCTCAGATAACTTT